GTTTTGGCGCGCTCTGCTGCCATAAGCTCTCGCTCTTCCTGCGTCAGCCCACCCGAGCGACTTGCTTGATTTCCACTACATCTTCTTCTTTTTATAATTGAGAATTCCTTTGGTTGGTTATTTTTTTAAAGGTGAAGATCTGTTGTCATCACTGGCATATCATATATTCTTAACACCGACGGGCATCTTGTATACTTAATAATGTCGTTCATCGAGTTTTGAATCGATACTCCAATTTCCTCTCCAACAGGCAGCAATAGTTTTGAGTAATCGACGTTTTGAAGAAGCCTTTCTTAGCTACCATTGTAATGTCCCTGCTTCATCATCGAGTACAACTGTTTATGTAGGAGTACGGTGATCAAGAACCGGCACTAGGTACATTTTTAGAATCAAGATCCTTCTTGATAGAACGATTCGTCAATCACATAGGATGCTACTAGCCTCACACGTATTATAATATATATATAAATGACTAGCTTGAACAATCAATTTTGTTCTAAGCATCATTTTTTGCTTAAGAGGTATTCGATACTTGATATTTGATACGGCGCTCTATCGACGGCCTTTAAACCCATCCTATGCAAAACGCTATGGTGATTTGTTGCGCTTGCTAGCACTTGTCATCAATTTGGCTACTTAGTCTTAACAAAATTACACCCTTTTTGCAGCGGGGCTGCCGTAGCTTTGCGCTTAGAGGAAGCGTAAATTAGGTCACCGACCTTTCATTCTATACTTAGAACTAGTACGAGTCTAGCGGATCGCAACCCGCTTACTCCAAGAGTAATTTCAACCTTAATCCAAGGCTAATCAGCTGCTCCGTTTAAATTCAAAACTGACTATATTTATATCTATCTGTGGCAAAGCCGCCTAATTTTTAATGCACAGATTAACCTAAATATGTATAGTAAAATCTGAATACATGCATAACTACTGGCTATCCAGCCCCGTATCGTATTCTTGTTTGGGTGTGGTCACACCATGCCCATCTGGTGTGACACCACCCCCTATTCCCAGGGTATGTGTAACCCCGTTACACTCTCCCCCATTAAACTGAGAGCATTTACAGTTCCAATCGACTATTGCCTCAACGAGGCTTGCGTGCCCGTTAGACATTGCGTTGGAACGAAACGACTTCCGTGCTCAATGAGCCCTGTGTCAATG